ACCTCTATTTATATATTTTAATTTAAGAAAATGCCGTTGATGATTTTCAGGTTTATCGATACTAGTAAACAGCCTGTGATGACAAAAGGCTGTAATAATACGGGTGTATTTATACAACGGGCTGAAACATGAAATTTGATCACACTCCAGAAAAAAAATCATATAGTTTACTTATTGTTATATGACCAATTTTGCATAATAATTGATGTCTACCATTATTTTTTATTATAGATAACTGATCAGCAAGTATATAATTTATACGATGTTTTATACGTAAATTACAGTTCAGTGTTTCTGTTGTTCCGTTGTTTTCCTCTTATAGTTGATGTTTTTCCCTTGGTTTTGGTTTGTGACCCCGATTTGTTTCAGTTAAATCGATTTATGACTATTGAACAGCGGAATACTACTGCTGCCTTTATTTACGTTTACCATGAGAACTATTATTTCTTAGCCGTTTATCGACAATATTCATGTCATCGATAGAAGTTTTAGATATATTCCCCTATCCCAATATTTTGTCATTGAGACCGAGAGGATAAGATGTTTGAAGTCTTTTCATCCAAATTAGTTCGCGAACTTCACAGGATTTTTCAGATTGTTTGTGTGATTGTTCTGGTTGTTTCTGAACGGTTGGAATTTTATAAATTTTGGATTGTGATTATGCTTATCTAAATGTTGGTATATCAAACATTTGAATGTTTTAGGTCTTCGAAAGCGGTAAAGGTGCTCTTGATTTCTTCTGTAATATTCTCGTCCCGTCTGTCCCACATGTAGAATACCACACTTAGGCTGGGTTCAAGTTACCATATAAATAAGGTTTTGGGTTTTCAGGTAATATCACAGGAAAAGGAGAGCGAAGAAGCTCTCTCGTTCACTGTTGACCTAACAGTATTGTGAGAAGTTAATCTGAAACAGATCAGTCATTTTCTGGCATTGCACGGGAACATTTGTGGATATCCATGTGCATTTTTGTTTAACAATCTTGCTGCAGAGGCATTGCCTCCTTTGACACAACTGTTCACAGTGCTAAATGTACTAGGATAATTTTGATAGGCTGCTGTAGAATTTATACTAGAAATTCGACTTTTAAGCACGTGGATATCCTAGAAGTAGGATTGTGTTTCAATTTCTTTCCATTGCGGAATAACATGATTATATAAATAGGGGTATAGGGAAAATAAAAAAGACCAGAGGTTGTAACATTGAATAAGGATCCCAATTACGGAATAAGAAATAATAGGCAAAGCAGTAAAAGAATTCTTACAAAAACTGTTATAAATTGCACAACAAAAAAACTGATGTAATACAAAACAGACATATAACAAACACAGGGCAAAACAGAGATTATAAGAAATCTAAGAAAAACCACAGAAAGGGGCATTAATAAGAAAAGCAAGCATGGTTGAGTATTTATACATCCCAACACCATTATATTGAATTAACAAATAAAGATATAATAAACATGTGAAAGCTCTCTCATAGGCAAACAACCCATAATTGTTAAATATAAGGGTATACACAACAAGCACGGGGACACATTCTACTGCATCCACACAGCACGAGCAACATTCCCTGCAGTAAATATAAATAAGAAGATGTGGAATGAGTGCCAATGAGACAACTCTCTATCCAAGTCATAATTTGTAAAAGTAAACCATAATAGGTCAAAGTACGGCCTTCAACGTGGAGCCTTGGCTGACACCAAACAGCAAGCTATGAAGGGCCCAAAAAATGATTAGTGTAAAACAATTCAAGCAGGAAAACCAACGGTCTATATTAATAACAAGTCACTGTATCTGATTCAATACTTGTGTCTAATGTATAGGAGGAACTGCTTATATAAACAGAATTTATTCTCGGGTTTTAGCGGGGTTCGTGTTGTCAATCTTCAATTTTTCGTCGTTAATATTTTTGGGTATGATGTTGTCAGTTTTATTGGAGTTGTGAACCATACTGCCTCTTGGTATCTTCTTTCTTCTTGTGTATCTTCTCTCTCTCTTTGTATCAGACCAACTAGTACGGTCAACATATCAATGGAAAAACATAAGTTTACAATTAAATTAAAAAACGGCCTTTGAAACAGTACAAGAACTTTGAAAAGTCGATTGCATCTTCTACTTAACACATTTGTTGTTAGAACTAGTGTCCTGGTATAAACAGCACTGCACGTTACCAAGTGCTCCACGAAACCTCCTTCTAAATCATTAACATTGATTGTATCAGCAATCAATGCCGGGTTTCAAAGGTGTTGTGAAACTGCATATTCTAGGGGCGGCGTGAATCCGATGTGGATACTAAAAAATCCAAGTATCTGTTAGAGTACATACAATCTAAGACTCTTGCACTAGTTTCAAATCTTTCATGTTTTACCCTTTCCACAAGTATCCCCCCTTCCCTTGCAAACTAAATGACATATTGAAAGAATTGGTCCTGCCTTTTATCATATAAATGATTGACAAACGTAGATACATGTAAATTAGTATAGTATGTTCAGAGATAATAGGCATATTTTGAAGCTAATTTGATAAAAAAAGTTACAATGCATTCAAAAACATCCTGTCATTACTTTATTTTGCATAAATTGTATCATTATCATAAATAAAGGCAACAGTAGTATACCGCTGTTCATAACACATTTTTAAATGTCAAAATAGTCACATAAAAATGAGTATACTAATAATTTTCGTTTGATTTATGTGAACTTTTGCAAGACTTTACTTAATGGTGTTTAAAAATATATAATCATAATGTTTCTAATTTTATTGTGGTAATTGCTCAACATTTATGATATAGTATCCTTTTTTTAAAATTCACTTTAGATGATGTTGTCTTCGTAGTGACCATGTATTATACGTGGCTGAACTTCTCACCCTGTTACATGCTTATATGCACTTATGCCCTACAGTAGAGTTTCTTAAAGAAGTTTTCAAAATAGGTAGAGACGGGACAAAATATTTCAATATTGATAATTGAAACCGCTATGTTTTGAAAAATCATTTTTTGTGTTTATATTGTTTCATAGATCAAATTAATTCGTTCAGTGTATGTTCACTTGTTTTTGTTTATATGTCTTTTGATTAAGTTAAGCCATTTCAATTAATATGTTATAGTGTGTCTTTCTATGTTGTGATGTTACACTATTGTTTCAGTACGGTGAAGGTTGGCGCCTATTAAAACGTTTAAACCCGCTGCATTTGTTTGCCCCTGTCCTAAGTCAGGAACCTGATGGTCAGTGGTTGTCGTTTGTTGATGTGGTTCATAAGTGTTTCTCGTTGTTTTTGTATAGATTAGACCGTTGGTTTGCCTGTTTGAATGGTTTTCCACTAGTCATTTTTGGGTCCCTTTATAGCTTGCTGTTCGGTGTAAGCCAAGGCTCCGTGTTGAAGGCCGTACTTTGACCTATAATGGTTTACTTTTACAAATTGTGTCTTGGATGGCGCGTTGTCTTATTAGCACTCATACCACATTTTCCTATACCTATTGTATGTTTTTTTAATTTTAGTTCTATTATGTAAGAGAGGGACGAAAGATACCAAAGGGACAGTCAAACTCACAGATCGAAAACAAACTGACAACACCATGGCCAAAAATAAAAAGACAAATAGACAAACAATAGTACAGATGACACAACATAGAAAACTAAAGACTAAGCAACACGAACCCCATCAAAAACCGGGGTTGATCTCAGGTGCTCCAGAATGTGTTTCGGATTTTAGTGTGACGTCTATTTTCACTGAACTAGTATACACTTTTGTTTAGGGGCCAGCTGAAGCCCGCCAACGGGTCCGGAATTTCTCGCTGTATTGTGGACCCATTGGTGGCCTTGGGCTGTTTTCTGCTCTTCCGTCGGGTTGTTGTCTCTTTGACTCATTCCCCATTTCCATTCTGAATTGAATTTATTGAAAAGATCTAAATGTTAGTTTTTTCTTTTTTTTTATAAAGATAACAGGATGTGGTATGATTGCCAATACGACAACTCACCACAAGAGACCAAATGATGTAAAAGGACACAACTATAGGTCACCGTACGGTTCCCACTTGGGACAAGTACACACAGATTGTTGCGGGGTTAAACATGTTTGCCGATGCCCAAAACCTCAACCTAACCTGATGCAGTGGTGTGAGAGTACAACATAAGAACAAACTATTTTTGCAGAGTTCATTAGACGAAAGAAATTCTTATTAACAAAGCTAATGATTTTAACAAAATTAAACTATACGCTCTTATATATGCAGATAAAGTCTTGTGAATATCTAAATGATGCTATTTGACAGATTTAAAACTATGTACGTTTTGTTATCAAATTGACATGGCCCATAATGCGGCCTTCTGATACGGCTCTATTGTCTTTTACAACATGTCACAACAATATGTACCTATGGTTAATAAGTCAGCACCAAACCGACACAAATATCTAAAACACAATGAGAACTTTACATACAGTATTCACCAATAGACGGATTTATTAACAATAAACAGGGAAGTTTCACTCACGTGAAAAGATTTCACGTGAGTTTCACGCGAATCTCATGTGAAACTCATGTGAATTAAACGTGTAAATCACATGAAATTTTTTACGTGAAATATACGTGCATTTTAGAAATAACATCAACATTTTCAAAAAAAAGTAAAATAACAAAAAAACAGAACTCCAAGAAAAATTCAAATCGGAAAGTCCCTTATCAAATGGCAAAATCAAAAGCTTAAACACATCATCCAATGAATAGCAACTGTCATACTCCTTACTTGGTATAGGCATTTCCTCTTTGTAGAAAATGGTGGATTAAATCAAATTTTATAAAAATCATGAAAAATACCATTTTTTCGGGATGTAAATATCATATGAAATTTACGTGAAAATTTCTTATGTGAGATTCACGTGAGTTTCATATATAAGCTCGTTTGAGGTGAATTTCACATGACATTTTTCACGTGATTTTTACGTGAGATTGATGTAAATTTCACGTATTACTAAGCAAAATTTGCCTATGTATGCTGATTTAAAAAAAGTATGTTTATTGATTGAACACTTGTCAATACATTCTCTTTAAAAAAAGATGATTGAATCTGTCAAACTAATTATAGCACACCTTATTTAAAATCTATTCTTTTTGGACACACATTTAAAAAAGTGATACGCCAAAATATCCCAAATTTAAGTGAACAGTTTGATTTGGTCTAACATAGCTTTTTGCAATCATGCAGTTCATCTTATTTGTAAGTTTCTATTATTTGTTCATCAATGGTAGGTTAAAAATGTAAAAAACAAGAAGTCAATTTTTATACCGTCGACAGTGTCACAAGAAATTTTCAACAAATGGAGAAGATTTTTCTGAAGTTGTCTGATATGTTTGTTCTCCTTTCATCGGAATTGCACATCCAGCTGTGTTTATTTTCTGAGATCTATTTTTTTTTGTATCGTCTCCTTTTTAATGAATTTTCACGGGAGCTGTATATCCATATTTGTTTCGTTTAAGTTCTGAAGTATCTTTGTTTTGATTAAACTTTTTAACGACAGTGACAATGCTATTGCAATAAGTATGTGGCTTTAGATATCCAAAATCGTCTTCATCGGAGTTCGTTCGTCTGAGTGCCTTTTTATTGGCAAACCGTGGAGTTTCGTATGCAACGTCATCAAGACTGTGAGAAACGTCAGCAAGACTTTGAGAATCATCCAAGTCTGTAATTTCATCATAGTGATGTGTCTGAATTTCAGGGTAAATCTGTGCTTGGTCACGTATGGAAGAAGTGTTAGGGTTTTTTCGTTGCCTTCGCTGGATGCAAAACCTAAAATTATTCAAATAATATCGGTGGATGGAGCAAAATAGAAAATATCTCTTCTGAACATTGAAGTAAAATGTCAATATTTTGTGTATAATTCCTAAATTTGTCATTCGAAATCACATTATAATAGAATCTTAAAAATCTTAATACTTAGAGCTATTATTTAATTATTTCATAGATACAAAAATTTGGTTAGGAAGTTTTTCTGTACCTTCTTATTACAAACGGGATATCAAATCCCATTTTTTAATGTGATGTTGTTTATAAAGCCCGTAAGTCAATATCAATACATTGATTAATCCTTCGACTAAATTCATATTTTACGGATATCTATTAAAGACCGTAGGTATTTTTTTTTTTAGTTTTGTTTCATCGGTACAAATACTTTTGTTTTTAATAAATTTAAACATAGATACATCTTTATGCTACATAAAAGAGGGACGAAAGATACCAGAGGGACAGTCAAACTCATAGATCGAAAACAAACTGACAACGCCATGGCCAAAAATAAAAAAGACAAACAGACAAATACTAGTACAGATGACACAACATAGAAAACCAAAGACTAAGCAACACGAACCCCACCAAAAACTGGGGTGATCTCAGGTGCTCCAGAAGGGTAAGCAGATCCTGCTCCACATGTGGCACCCGTCGTGTTACTTATGTTATTACAAATCCGGTAAATAGTCTAATTCGGTAAGTCACATTCGTGAAAAGGGAGGGTATTGTAGTTACGACATAAGGAACATATCCGATATCATCTGTGAAACGGTTATTCCATAACGGTCAACCAACTCGTGATGGCGTCCGTAACATACGAGTTTTTTTTCTTTTTTTCTCCAACAAGATAGCTTTTCATGCACCCCCTCTGTACATTGAAATTGAAACTTTTGATTTTAATATATGTGGTGTCTGTGTAAATAATACGATTTATAAATAGCTCTGTTACGTTAAAAATCACTACAAGAGAATCTATTTTCAAAATTAGGAAATAAAATATTAATGTCTAAAAGCTTCAGTTTAGAATCCTTTCAAAAAGCTTAACTGTTATAAACACATCAAGGTTTTTGATGGGTGTAGTTTGATCAATAATATTTTTATGTTTTCAATGTAGTTTAGCGTGAATTGTTTGTTTTTTGTCATTTCTAAATTCTCTGTTACAAAATTTTGGAAATTTGTTTCAAATTAAAGTATATATTTCCATCATGCAATGCTCTGATTCCTTGGCTGGCTCTGGCTTTAGTTTTATTCCTGTTTAGTTTATAGGATCTTCATTTTTATAACACGTTTTGGGTTTTCAAATATTTTGACCTCGAGCATCACTAAAGAGACATTCATTGTCGAATTGAGCATCCAGTACAGTAAAATTGGTACTGTTAATATTATTATATATCATGGTCATGTTCTTTTTCAAAATTATTCATATATTGTTATCAATTGGTAACTTTGTCATTTTTTCCTTTTACGTTTTTGGTCAAGTTTTTTCTCATTGTCGAAGTCCGTATGGTGATCAATAATTCCGTTTATCTTCATCATTTGAACTCTGGCGGATAGTTTTCTCATTGGCAGTCATATCACATCTCCTTTTGTTATCATTTTTCTAATATGCAAAAGATCATGATAAATCATTATATACAATTAGTAAATGATTCATTCGTTATTAAACATTCAATAAACAATATAGTCGAAAATATTCACTAGTTTCTTTTAGTTATAAAATAATAAAATTGTTAAACATGATTTAATAACCTTACATAGATAAAATCATACTTTTATACCAAGAATACATGCACTATATCCTTACGTTATAGTTCAATTATATATAATTTGAAGCAATTGCAGTAAGGAATAGACTTCCGAATGTGATCCTTCCTTTCATACATAATGATACTAATGGTTAGTATATGCGTTTTAAAAAGAATGTTTTATGCCGTTAATTATTTTGTTTCTGCTGGATGATTGTGTTCCATTTCTGCTTATTTGATTTTGTTGATACCCTTTTTGTAATTGTCTATAGTAGATTGATCAGATTGATCAAGTTTAGGAATTACAGTACTGTACATCTCAGGAACATCTGAAGCAGGATAATTCTTACCAGTTTGATTTGTTTTACATGTTCTATTTCAGGATTTGTTGTATTTATGATATATCCAATTACGTTTAATCACATGTATTAGTACTTAAATAAATTAACTTACGCCAAGATCGCAAATAAAACACACAAAAAGAGAGTAATGGATACTGCCGTTAAATGTACTTTGTAGTTTTCTGAAATTTGACACAAATACATTTTAACAAAAAAGTGTCTTGAAATTTTACAAATGATGCATATTCTTATCTGATATCGAAAAAAAAAAAATATATATATTGGATTTTAAATCTTATATTCCTGAATGTTTCCTTCAACTTACGACCTTAGACGGTTGTGGCTGCGAAGTTTGCAATCTGTTTTACTTCCACACACTAATTGGACTTGCGTACCTGATAAAGGTTACTATTCGTGTATATAGTGTACAATGGTTAGGAGTATGTGTGTGTTTGTGTGATAGAGAGAGACGGAGAGTTATAATTTACGAAATGTATGATAAACCGTAGTTTGATATAAATCAATTGACTAGCTGTTGGTTTTGTCTTAATTCCTTTTGTAATCGCTATGAGAAATCATAGAACATTGATGTGCATAAAAATATAATTCCATTTGGTTTATTTGTGTATTATTTTTCTGAAATTTATCTTTTTTCAATGGAAGAATATTTGACATTTCTATTTATATCTTAACAAGGGTAAGTAAGCACTACATTTTATATGTTAAAGATATTTAAAAGCAAATTGAACAACATCATTATCATTGAGAAATTATAGTTTAACAATATAGACGTAAAGTATTTTTCACACCAGGCTATTTTATAAAGTCTTTCAATCGTCACTTAAATTCAAAGTTTCACAAAATTATGTAAACGTTTGGTTTTTAGCAACATAATGACGTATTTCTGAACGTTTAACTACATAAAAGAAACGTCTAAATATAGCTCAAAACTATAATTGTGGTCCATTTTGACAAATTCTTTATCATTGTTTAGAAAATTATTTTCAAATAATCTAAACCATAAAAAATTCTGCCTGATATTTTAAGCTTTGTCTTTCATATCTTTTAAATTAACTTTGGTTTGATTGACGATGTCATTCGATCAATCATTTTGCAAAGACCTGTAAAGATTTCATACAGTTCTGAATTGCACCCTACAGCAATATTTATAGCTGAATAAACTTTCTACTGTTTTCGAAGTATACATAAGTCCTCGAAAAATCCTGGAAAAATCTAAATATACAACTTAGACTCGGCAATGTTCAAAGTCAGCAATGTTTCAATAAATTTCCGACTGTGACTTCATGAATGAAACGAGTACATGAAAATTGACCGTAACTCCATGTCACCATATTCAGCTGATACATACAATGATTTCTGTTAGAAATTGCAATATGTACATTTCCTTTTAATGTGTACCTTTACATGATGGTGTTTCTGGACGTGCCACACGAAAACCTTTATGTTCTTTGCCATTTGTATCCACACACCAACAATCCTGCTGATTGCATTGCATTTCCTCAAAATCTCCAGTGGCTGTGCACATTGGTTCGTGTTGTGTTCTAAACTCTCTTTTTAACAGAACTGAACTGAATAAACAATTCTTCAATTTTTTCCCTTTTAAAATAATAAGAATTTTTTTTTTCAATTTGTAAATACAATGTCAAATTACCGTTTATCTTGGACGGAAACTATTCACAAACGCACATGCACAGCTTAGAAGTATTGATTTATCTATACAAATATAGAATTTGTAACATTCAGATGATAACAACATCGTTCGTCGAAATCAGAAAAAAATATCTATTTATTCACGCTGACAGTTTGTGCATATTTCACGAGTGTTGAGCAGGATAAAAAAACGATAAAAAGATTCAGTGGAAAAAAAAAAGGGTCATTATGCCTTTCTGATTTGTGTTTTTTTATAACTTAGATTTTTGTTTTCCATATTTATATTTAATAGTCTAAACATCTTCTGCTAATCGAACTCGACATCAAACTGTAAGAGTCTACACTCATCAATTAAGACGATGTGTTATTATTGTTAAACTCTAGATATTTTACACAATTTCCTCGTGCTCAATTAAATCCTGGTAGCGTGATTTCCTCAAAATCAAGAGTTCGTGGATTCAATTTCTTGCATGGGGAAGGCAAAGACTTAAAAATCGGTGTTTTGGTTATTTTCAGCTCAATAAAATATTGAAGGAGACAGTAAAAGACTTATCGATACACCATTTAGAACAATGAGTAACAACATGCCATGCGTTCATTGCTCTGGTTAAATGGTACTTAATGAAGTAACATATCTTGTGATACATGATTCATAACAGTTTTGTGGTCTGAGGAGAATTTTAAAAGTATTCGCTTAACACCTACAATCAACCGAATGACCGCCCATCCATTCATGATCCGATTCACATTGATTTTAATATGATTTAGTACTTTAGCATACATCTATTTGATTACATCATCAGGAATTTAAAAATTAGGAATAAAGTAGCAATGTTGTTTTATAAATATAAGTAAATTGTGTTGCTAATAGTCTTAGTCCTATTATGACAAGTATAATAAAACCTTTATAACAATCTGGTATATTTAAATCAACCATTTTGGTTCCGGGAATTATGTTTCCCAATAAATCGGAACACCAGCATGTCTTTACGCCATCGATAGTGTCACACTGTAAGGCTTCGAAGGCACCATTGAGAGTACATTTAGGATACTGACAATTTCCTGTTGCGCTATTGCGGATCTGTTGACAATTTGTCATGTCTTCAGTTCTTCCCTGTACCTCTTTATAAAAAAAAATTGATATGCAATATCATTTATTTACCTTTATATAACACAATTACAATGATTTGATTTGAAAAGTAATGAATCATTGTTTCTTTTGAAAAAGAGCCAACCTTCATTGTTAGTTCAACATTTTCCATTTGCATTCAAAATTGACGGCCCGTTATCCCGATAGACCTAGCAAAACCTAACTTTTGTTGTTATTCTGATTTTTTCTCGTCCTGAAAAGACATAAAACATTTGCCATCAGACGAGTAGCAAGCAACAAACAATCAGTCATATATGAGAAGCTTTCGACACTGTCATGAAATTTGCTTGTTATGTAATGGATTATAGTCATTTCGTACCCTTTCCATTTCGTACCTTATTGAATATCTATATGTATACAATTTCTTTCCTCATGTAATATTTATATTTATTATGAATGATATGAGCTAATCAGTCCTAATAAAAATAAATCAGCATGTGTAATACTGTTGGAGTCGCCCCGTTGACATAAATCATGAGTAAATATTCTTTTCTGTCCAATCCAATAGAGAAAAAGGCCAAAAAGCAATACAGGATTTTCACTTCCGGTGGCAAATTTTCACTTCCAAATAATGTTTGACATATTTTAACCTGGAATAGACGTATCTAAAAGAAATAGGAATTAAGACACAGTTTTCAATTTTAAATGACAAGAAAATTTAATTTGTAATCCGTTTTTGTTACGATTTGTGGAAACATTCCAAAACCTTTCCGAGTAGACTTTTCAATTTATTATCTTTGTTTCATTTCAGCGATCAGTATAGCAAAATGAGATACATTTCTAGTATTACATTCAAGTGATATTCAATTGGAAAGAATTTGCTGCAATCCGACCAGGACTATAATTTTTGTAAAGCGCTTAATGTTTGTGTAGCCAAAACAATTTCATCGAAAGCTTTATCTGATTTTTACACGTATTATTTAACAGAGGTTAATATTCATGAGAATCAAATGAATTATTCATAATACAAAATTATCGTTTAATCGTTGCAATGTAAGCAATGCACTACAACTGTAAAAAAGATTTAAAATGTATTTGCTGCGTTGCCGATAAGTCATGTGACCATTTTATAGGATGGGGTTTGTGCTTCGCTGAATTCGTTAATAATATTTATTTAAAATGTAACAAACTCAAATATTAAATGAAATTTACTACGGTACACACTCCTTTTGTTTTTTTTATATATGATATATGCCATCCAAAAAAATAGAAATAATGCTATACAAAGAATCAGCAATTAAATTACAAACAAGTGCATTTAAGGATGTTCGCTCCTCTGTTTCAAAATAACAAGCTTTTTAAAAGACTGTTATAAATTGAAAATATATAAATGATGGAACTTAAAAAGTAGAAAAAGGCAGGTCCGTGTCCTCGTGTTTAAGATATAATCAATTGAAAAGGAGTAGGTTCGATAAGGCCCAAAAATGGCCCCCTTATTTAGCTTAAATTTCAAATTAGGATTTATTGATCGTTATCACGATAAATCATAGCTAATACAATGACTAGATAGAAAATAAACCTTTTTGTTGAAAATTTACGTTCCTGCGTTTTATTCATGACGTCAAAAATAGTACTCATTTTGATTTTCCACGAAAAAATCAATGAAAATGGGTAAATTTGCATTAGTTATTAGACAGGAAACATAGAGCGCATACGCCAACAAATAAGATCTTTTAAAATAATGTTTGTAAAGACATTTAACATGTCTAACTTGAATATTTAGTTTGTCGACGCCTGTGCTCTATGTTTCCTGGTCCTAAATTTGGTTGAAATCCGGCCGATTTTGTCAGATTTTTCCAAAATTTCTTATCTTGACCTATTTGGGATGTAAAAATCAACGCTTTAGAATAAAACTATGACACAAATAGTTCTATTCAACTTTCTCACATGTCTTTAAGTCAACTTAAAACATTTTTATCTTGTAAAATTGATCTTTATAATCGGGGCCAAATACGGCCCTTATCGATCTTACTCCTTTGACGGGAAATGATTCTCTCTAGATTGTTCACACATTTAACATTGACACCTTTTTTTCCTAAAAAATTATGAAAAGAAAACAAGGATTTCATAAGATTTTCAAAATGGCTTTTTTTAATATACAAAATTAAAAGAAAAGTAGCGATAGTCGGGCAAAATGTTCTTTGGCACTACACAGATAAATCTAGAGAATTCCGAATATCTGATAAAAAGTCAAAAACAAGAGTAGCAAACATTTTTATTCATTTTATATGTTTATGAAATATAAAGAATTTTAATTGGACAAATACCTCTTGCAATGCATTGTTGGCCATTCAAATCCGGACATACACATTTATTCGAACGGCTATGTAATGTCAGTCTCGGGGACGGCAAGCATAAATAACGACACCCTCCATTATTGATACCACAATAATTACATCCTGATGGATACATATTAAATAAAATTATTTTATAAATGAATTATAAACAGATAGAATTATTATATAAATGAATTATAAACAGACCGATAGAACTGCATAAAAACGTTATGAAATGTTATGATAGTGAAACATTTTAAAAGAAGAAAATCCATTTATAACTGTTGCACAGTTTTAAAAGTCGCAATTGTCCACGTTTAAAGATATCTGAACATCGGTAAACTACTGATGCCTAAATTGATTTGTTATACATGCCTTGCTGTAACCATCATTAGTGTCAATTGAGACCATTAGATTGCAATGAATATTATCTATGTTTTTTCGTAAGAGAATTTTAACGAAAGAACAAAGTTGATAAAATAACTTTTGTAAACTTCGGATTTCCTAGGGAAAATATATACACAGCGTTTCGGCCGCATGTGTCATTAGTATACCTATATATGCACATGACTTATAAAATAATTAAAAGGTTAATATATAGGCACTCTTTAAGTCGTATTAAGTTAATCCGCCTTTAAAAATATATTAGTAATATCTTTGATTCATATGCGCAATGCACATCACGGATTTTATTGAACAATTATTACTGTTGTGCGTTTTACGAAGAGAATAATACGTCAACAATTACCTCTCCCAGTTGGACCAAATACTTCCAGTCCATATGGCTTATTTGTTGTTCCTAGTTGATAAGGATTAGACTGATGTTTATTTTCTGTTTTGTTGATCATCTTGAGAGAGCCCGATTTGTAATTCGCCCATATAACATGAGAACCAAATATAGCAAGCTCAAAGGAACTGTTCCTGTCTGTTTTTAAAGTTATAACAACTGTGACGTCACTTCCATCAAACTTCGACGATTTGATGTCATGAAGCTTGTCATCTACCCAATAAATCCTGTGTTGCTTTTTATCTAAAAAGATATTTAAAATAATATTGCAGCGAACCTGGTTTACACTCTATAAAATTGATAATTGTTGGCTCAGCCTAAAACACAATTGAGATTGTTTGTAAATACTAGATAACATTTAATCTTTCTAAGTCAGGCATATATACCAACAGAAATACATTATTCCAGCAAAATGAATATCACATTACATAAATAATAATAATGAACAAAACAATCATTTGATGCATTTCATAATTTGGTAATTTGGTGATTAGGAGATTTGGTGAAACTTCCCAAGCATTAGAATTATTTTCTATAGAATCTTTGAAGGAAATTGTAATTCCGATATGAAATCCTTTTTACTATAAATTGTGTTTAAATTACGACACAAACAATTTCTGAACTTTGGTTATAAATGTCGCACCATCTATAATATTTTGTGCTTTTCCAAGATTTTTTCCAAATTTGGAGACAGACCCTCTTGCACTTGCGTAGTCAAAAAAAGCGCAATTTAAATGTAGGTTCCCAGAAATTTGGATGAAATTTATTGCTTTATGTTTAACAAGTTCCGTACTATCTCACTTTGGTTCAGTAATTGCATCTGCGTAATTTGATTCTCTTTAGCTTAAAGGGTTCGTATGCTCCACTGCTTTGTTATGGCATAGGAAGCCCAGATTCTGTACAAGCTTGATTTGTATAGCAACGATCACAACGCCCCTAGATTTAGCAAGAGGAAAATGTCGTAAAGTATGGGAATAAACGAAAACAGAAGAAACGATATGGGAAAATACACCTATCGTGAATGAATTACAGCTGTATATATAACATACATACACAAGGTAATTAGACTATGTGATTGGACCATAGTTGATTTATTGATTTCCATCCCAAAATGAGTAATCTACATTCCAAAAATAGCGATCAGACAACTAGTAGAAAAATGGCAGTGAAAATAGAAATATTGTTTGCGGAACTTATATGTTTGCACGACAGAACAATATGTATTCATAATTTAATATAAATATAAATACATGATGCATTTGTTTAATAATAATATTGGAATCAACGTAGCATTTTATTTCATGTTTTTACAATGCAAGCTCTACCTTCTTAACATTCCAGTAAACCCTGTGAATATAACAAAAAGGTATAAGCTAGTATATACCTATTGTAATAGCACTTGGTGCACTTATACCAGTCTTTACAAGAACCTGTTGTTTACTTCCATCCATGCCAATACGGATGATCTTCGGAACTTCACTGGAATCGGCCAAATACATCCATCTGAATAAAATTGGAATAAAGAATAGATAAAACCCGAATAAATATCAAAAAACAAACAGATGTATTTTCTGTACATATAAATAAATTGAATCTGATATTTGCTATTTATTGTTTAAGCATTTACAGCTCCCAGGATTTACGAAAAAGCAAATTGTTCTGTATTGTATTGTGTCAGCTACAGGTTTGTTTTTTTTGTCTTCATAAAAAACTACTAATTTCGTTCCATTTTTTTTAACATTTAATTTGTTTAAGGAATTTGGCTTATCATTTTTTAATTCACGATTACCTGAATTTTGAATTGTGATCTATGATCCGCATTTTGAAGTGAATTGTTATTTTCGGCATTATGTTAGATTCCTTATGAGTAATCGGAATAACTTTTAAACCATACCGCCCAGCCTTTAAATAATTTTATATTTATCGATGATTGATATTTTGTACTTTCCTTGCATCAGACTCAGGGTCTAAACGGCAGATATTTAATTTATGTAGCCCGCCGAAACATGTATATTTTCGTTGTTATCATAATATTCATAATATATGTGTGTGTACTTGTTCTTTATATCTATGTAATGTCGTGTATGGTGAATGTTTTATGGTTTTGGTCAAATAAATGCATGAAATACATATTATTTTATTCTTTTAATGAAGCCAATAGTAATTGTCAATCAAACTAATTTACGTTCCGGACTCTTCAATTAAAGTTGAAATTTGGAATTATTTATTTTTTTAGTAAACCTGTTAAGGCCAAACTTTTATCATGTTCCACATGATCAATATTTTTCCCTAAAGAGTTAATGTGGTTAACTGTTATATAAAGCACATAAAACTAAAAATCATTTTTTATATACTATTAATGTTTGTCCACGGTAGTGCATTATATCATAAATAAAGATTATCAATGTTTATATGATATATAATTTGATATGTTCTAACTGTTGTTTTTTTTTTGGTCGACGACTTCAACTTTGTTACAAAATAAAAACATACCTTTCATAAGGATCTAAAGCTAAGTCACTCATGTGCAGAGCTTTATCTTTATACACCGTCTTGATATGAGACCCATTAAGCCTACAGACCTGGATTTTAGATCTCCCTGGATCAAGCCAGTAAAGATTCTCGTGAATCCAGTCAACTTCTATATCACCGATGGACGAAATATGGTCAACAATAACAGTTTGATTAACAAGAGTCCCCGGCAGATAACTCGCCCTACAATACGATGATGAATGTTATATTTTATTTAACTTATTAATTATTAAAATAATGTATAAATGTTTATTTATTTGTTTAAAGTCCAGCTAAGACACCATAGAAAACACAAGCTCTCAAGAGCTTATTTCCGACAGTGAAAACATAAATATCTACAGTAATACAATTCAAGCAAAGTTAGCATCAAAAACAAGATGGCGGGCACATTTTATAAAAATATTGTCTTATAATAAAAATCTCAAAGCAATATAAAATTTGTTGGTACAGGTAATTCAAAAATAGAAATAGGTAAACATATATATATATATTTTTAATTTACAACTGGCCCATTTGATGGCTGCTTAAGATTTAAAAAGTCTCTCACGTTCTCATGTGTCTAATTGTAAGGGAGGGCATCTGAGCTACACCCAGCAATGTTTTATAATCTGAAAGATAATCTTTATATTTAAATCTCAGAACCATCTTCTGAGTTTTTTTAAAATAAAAATAAAATTTGAAAGTATAAAGGTGTGAAATATAGCTAATTTTATTAGTGTAGATAAATAACTACCAACTATTTAATTTCTAAAATGTTTTTCTACATAATGTTTGGACATGAAAGTTAAGACATAAGGTTTAGCATATATTTATTCATAGAAGTTAGACAAAAACGTCACATGATATTATACCATCCTGGGTATTGAAAACAGGATATAAATTATGGGTTTTCTTACCAATAGTAATTTTTAGTTTTTTTGGAAAATATCTTTATCAGTAATCATGTTGATAAGCTTAGTTAGTTCAATAGTGTTTACAGGTTGATCAAGTTTAACAAAGATTTGTATATAATAATTCTATTGCAAATATGTATGTTCAGTAATTTAATTGCAATATTCAATTGTTTAGTTGTTGTTCGATTAAAAAACCCAGTAGCAAATATTTAATTTGTTTAGAACAAATTAACAGTAAATCCAACAAGTTAATTCTGCTAAGTTGGTAGACCGGGTTAGAGGACGATTAAATTAGAATGCCACATGAAAAAGGATACGGAAACTCGCGAAACAGTTTGGCCTAGGAAATCCAAAAATTAAGATCTACTTATAAAAAATAATTAAGTTTACATCATTATAATATGCTGTAGTCTAACCTTTTGATTTTGTAATCTTTCACACTTTCTTCTACCCAGAAAATGAAACCTTTGGAAAACAGCGAAGAAACAGCAAATGTTTGAGTATTTGAGTACAAATCACGTCTCGAAATGAAATTTGGCAGACTGAATTCTTGTAGACCACGTTCTGAGGAAACTATCAAAAAGTCTATAAAAGAAAACATACAATGGCACATAATTGATATATGGGCATTAACTATCCCTCTTTTAATTTCAAACCTTTGATAAAAATATATACTTCAATATTATACAGCAAACCCAAGGGAATACAAATTGAAACGGCATTTAATATTTTTCATGTTGAACTTTACAAAAACTAATCAATATTTTTTAAAATATTTACACGTTATTTATGGTTTTTGTTTGTCTTTTTGAGTTAAATGTTATGGTAATATGTAAATTGATATTTTGCTGTATTTAAACATTCAATCATTATCATGATTTGTGTATATATATTTATTATACAAATATGTTTATGTGTATATATTATGTCCTCTTGTACACGTATGTATCTGATGTTTGAAAATAAAGTATTGTCTATATTGTCAAGAAAACAGTATCATACATTCATAATTCAAATATGTAATTTAGGTGACAATTATTTCAAATGCCTTGAATAGAGGAAAATGTTATTTTTAAGAATAAAAAGTTATATTTTATTTTTTCTGCTATATGCATTTTTTTTCTGTTAGACTTAGGTTGACGATTTAGAGCTTAACGAATTGTTCAAACACCTGTCTGTCATTTAATACCGTATGGTAGCCTTTAACTCTCCTTTGATTTTTTTACGATAGATCGCTGTTTCATTGACGTATTATACCCTATATCTACATCTTATTTTAGTCGTATATTACATGTAACACTATATTTGTAGATTCTCATCATGAACTGACTAAAGACAAACCTCTAATTAATAATTTGCACATTGTTTTTTTTATTATTTTTCAATTTAGTTATATTATTATATATCCATGATGTATCTTTATACAATTTGGCTGCTGGGTGCCAATTATTGTCACGTTAGCCAATTATTTCTGCTTGGATTGCTTACATTGTTTTTGTCAATTAAACAGAACTATATATATATCACTGTCATACAAGTGGGATGTTTATCTAGCTGTAAAACCAGGTTTAACCCACCATTTTCTTCGGAAAATGTCTGTACCAAGTCAGTAGTATAACAGTTTTTTTTCTGTTGTTTTGTCGGTTGATATAGTCGAGTATTTTGGGTTTTTTTAAAAGTTTGTTTTATGGACTTACTCTTTTTGAAATTAAATTTGAGTTCAGAATTTTCAGTTGATATGCTTTGTGTTTGCATATTATTTATAATTACCAGTTTACAAAATGTTATGAAACCTTATCTTTTTTTCGTAAATGAGTTGTCCAGTGATAACAATTTTTTTAATCATGACATACTTTATGTCAGTTATTGTCACCTTAACCTACTATGTATGTTTGGGTTGTTTATGCAATTTTGTCAATATAACGGAACTATAAACAACTGTCATGGAAGTGGGAGGTTTAGATAGCTATTAAACCAGGTTTAAACCACAATTGTCTTCGGAATATTCTGTTGGTTGTACCAAGTCAGGATTTTGACAGTTGTCTTTCACTCGTTTCGTTGATTGATAACGTTTGATTTCTGTCGGATTTTTTTAACTTCTCTTTTTTGAATTTACCTTAGATTTTGGTATTTTTTTAACTACCTTTTAAATTAATTAATGAAAAAGCGCTTCTGGTGTTTTGTTCGACATTGTTTCTGGCGAAAATTGCCTAATTACATTACATTTTGTTTTATAATGTTATACATAAAAAGCTGAACAAATGCAAGTTATTCCCTCCTTTTGTATTTCTTATTTTGGCTGAGTGGTATAGGATCCTACGCGATATATCTTGTATTCTGTTTGACTTTTTATATTGGGCTTTTTCTATTAGGTTGGGGTTAGACTCACAGCCAGAACAGTATTATACAAATAAATATTCGATTGTTTTCCCGTGGTTGTGACAAAATATGACTGAATCACTCTCCATTGTAAATGCATCGTACTTACCTGAACAGGTAACATATCTTATAATTCCAACTAAAGCAAAACAGATAAATATCAACTGAATACAACCTTGAAATATAATAACATGCATTTTAAATTGAACTTGTCCGTAAGTAATCATAATTAATCATAAATGATTTTTTTTCAACGATAATTGTTTCCTTATTACGCAATCAATATCGTGTCAAAAAGGAAATTACTAATTAGTCGCAATTTAAGTACAATTCACCAAGTTGAACTACGGTCATTGTTTCTTTATAAAAACAATTGGTAAAGTTTCCTGTAAAAACCAAATGTTAAAACGGTACTTAATTATCATTTAGGGCAGATGTGCGCAGGAAACAAACAAAAATGTTCATATTAAGTCAAGTTATTGATGTTTTACATTTAATTAAACATTGGTATGATATTTATCTGAGAATTAATCCGTTACGAAACATATTATTAGAATTAATACGCTTAGAAAAATATATTGCTTGCTAATCCTATCAATAAAAAGAACCCAATTACTGTTTTTGAGATGTTGCACAAGAATTGTTAATCGTTTTGGCAAGGTTGATGCAAATTAAGCAGATTTAAAAATGTATATTATGTTTTTTTCATTTAAGTGACTGACTCTCAAATATATCGCTCTCTTTTTTTATCGGTATGCATTTGGAAGTAAATATGATTTAAATCAAAACTTTCATGTATAGAAGGGAGACAGATACAGTTGGTATTCTAACAAACTTTTTGCTGTGACGTTTCTGCAAAAGTAAACAAAATCGGCCAGCCTATTTTCTAATTACTTTGAATATCTGATCACCTCTACTTAGTACTTTTAACGTCTTCATATTTTCAGAGTAAAGAATATATTAAAACTGTTATCGTAAAACCTTGTAAGTACATTGGATGTTCATGGCTATGATACGTCTTAGGATTGGATGCGTTTCTATTGTTTCTGAATACATTTCGTCTGCTGGGTTTCTACGTGTTTGTATTGTTTCTCATTATAATCTGTCTAATGGGCTAGTAGCTCACAGTACATGAACATCCCATAGGTCCAACGACGCATTTCTGTTGTTTTCAGTTACAATGTGTGTGGTGGGCTTCACTGAGCTCACAGTATATGTGTGTCATATAAATTTCAAGATGTATTTCTATTGCTTTCAGTTACAATGTGTCTGGTGGGCTTCAATGAGCTGACAGTACATGTGTATCAAATAAATATACAGAAAAAGTTCTCGTTTCCTAATACAATTTGTCTGGTGGGCATCCATGAGCTCATGCTTCATGTGTATCATATAAATCTCAAGTCGTGTTTCTGTTGTTACTCAATACAATATGTCTGGAAGGCATTTCTGAGCTCACAGTACATGTGTAGCCTATAAATATAATGACGTGTTTCTGTTGTTACCGAATACAATGTGTCTGATGGGCTTATCTGAGCTCACAGTACATGTGTATCATATAAATCTAAACACCTGTTTCTGTTGTTACCCAATACAATATGTATGGTAGTCATCTCTGAGCTCACAGTACATGTGTATCATATAAATCTAAACACGCGTTTCTTTTGTTACCAATACACTGTGTCTGGTAGGCTTCTCTGAGCTCATTGTTCACATGTATCCCATAAATCCAAAGACGCGTTGTTTATTTTTACCCAATAAATGGTGTCTGGCGGGCTTCTATGAGTTCACGGAACATGTGTATAATATAAATCTTAACACGCGTTTCTATTGTTTACCAATATAATGCAGCTCAAAGGCTTGTATGAGTTCACGGTACATGTGTATCATATAAATCTTAAGATGTATTTCTATTGTTTTCAGTAACAATGTGTCAGGTGGGCTTCATAGAGCTCACAGTACATGTGTATCATATAAATCTTAAGAAAAAGTTCTCTTGTTTCCAAATAGAACGTGTCTAGTGGGCTACCCTAAGCGTTCTAGGTACTGACGTTGTTTGTCATCTTAATTACGTGTTATAGTGTTCTATTTATTTGTCTTTGTATATTTCTACCGTTTAGTCCATTTTTTGGTAATATCCTATTTATACATCCCCCCATTGTGTTATAATGCTATGGTCATCTTTTGTACTCTCGTCTTTTATTTTTTATTATGTGTTCTGTCTATAGAGTGTATACATGACTTTTTGTTTTTCTTTGTTGACATAGTTGTGTGTTTGTATAGAGATTAAGATTATAACACAATGTTGACTGCTATACCCCAATTTTTGTCATTTTTACCTATCATGTCTGTTTATTTTGCTCACACATTGTTGTCAATATGACAGAATTGTATGCGACTGTCAAACAAGTGAGAAGTTTAGCTTACTATAAAACTAGATTTAATTCACCCTTTTCTGCATAAGGAAATGCCTGTACCAAGTCAGGAATATGACAGTTGTTTTCCATTCGTGTGATATGTTTGAGCTTTTGATTTTGCAATTTGATAAGAGACTTTCCGTTTTTAATATTCCTTCGAGTTCGGTATTTTTGTTATTTTACTTTTTAGTATTCCTAAAACTGGTAACAAACTTTTTCCTATGACGTTTCTGCAAAAGTAAAACAAAATCGACCAGCTTACTAACTAATTCCTTTAAATATCTGATCACCTCTACTTTGTAATATTCTCTAATTCCTTTGAATATCTGATCACATCTAATAAGAACTATTTACGTCTTCATATTTACAGGGTAAAGAATAGATTAAAACTGTTATTGTAAATCCTTGTAAGTTCATTGGAAGTTCATGGTTATGATAAGTCTTAGGATTGGATGCGTTTCTATTGTTTCTGAATACAATTCGTCTGCTGGGTTTCTACGTGTTTGTATTGTTTATCATTATAATCTGTTTCATGGGCTAGTAGCTCACAGTACATCTGCAACTCTTAGGTCCAAAGGCGCGTTACCGAACGTGTCTTATTCCCGATTGTGACTGTTTTGCTGAGTGTGAATTTGCATTGCTATAAGACGTGTCACGGTAGTTTTCTATCCAAAATTCATGTATATAGTTTTGATGTTATATTTGTTATTCTCATCGGATTTTTTTTTCAAATGTCTTATCGCTTGTAGTTGTAAATCTTATTATTTTTTTCTGTTGTATTCGTGTGTTATGATAAAGGTAATTAATCACCCAGTTCATTAATTAGATTTTAGTTTGGGTCAACTAAATTTATACGATACATTTGGTTTACAGTTTGATTTAGAAGACACACCGACATAGCTAGATAATACTATTAATTATCTAATTACTACCACATTTTATATTAATAAGTTTTGTAATTTTCATTGTTATTCATAAATGTTATATGAGTATTATAAACCTAATCTTGAATTCTATCCTAATTCTATCCTATTTTGGGGAAATTTCAGAAATTCGAATGTGACGTCACTTTTTTGCGTTGATCTCTTTGGCTAACTCGGCTGTGAATTTTTATGTGCTGGTTTATGTTGTTTTATGTATCCGTTTTTATTCTGTAGTGAGTCACCACTTCGGTGTTATCATGTATATCTATTATATAGTCATTTTTATAAATTTACTGTTTTCAAAAGTATGAATTATTCTAAATACTAAGGATTTTCTTATCCCAGACATATAACCTTAGCCGTATTTGGCACAACTTTTTGGAAATTTTGGTCCTCAATGCTCTTCAACTTTGTACTTGTTTTGGCTTTTGTACTTTTTTGATCTGAGCGTCACTGGTTAGTCTTGTGTGGACGAAACGCGCGTCTTGCGTATTAAATTTTAAACCTGGTACCTTTTGTTAGCTATTATTCGTATGTTTCTCTGTCCTATATGTTCTCCCATTTATTTGTATTGTAGTCCTGTCATGTAATGTTGTCATTTTAATGTTATATTTAACATTGCCATAAAAGGGGGAGGTTTGGCTAGCCACAAAACCAGATTCAACCAACCATTTTTTTCTTAAAATGTCCTGTACCAAGTCAGGAAAATGGCCTTTGTTATATTATAGTTCGTTTCTGTGTGTGTTACATTTTAATGTTGTGTTTCTGTTGTGTCGTAGTTCTCCTCTTATATTTTATGTGTTTCCCTCATTTTTAGTTTGTAATCCGGATTTTTTTTTTCTCAATCGGTTTATGAATTTCGAACAGCGGTATACTACTGTTGCCTTTACTTTTCTGTTGTTTTCAGCTACGATGTGTATGATTGGCTTCTATGAGCTCACAGTACATGTGTAACCCATAAGCCCAAAGATACTTTCCGTTGTATTCAATTACAATGGGTATGATTGGCTTCTATGAGCTCAGAGTACATGTGTATCATATGAATATAATTACGTGTTTGTATTGTTTATCATTACTGTATGTCTCATGGGCTTCTATAGGCTCACAGTACATGCGTATCACATAAATCCAAAGACGCGTTTCTATTGTCAACTAATATAATATGCCTGGAAGGCTTCTCTGAATTCACGTTTCATGTGTATCACATAAATCTAAAGACGAGTTTTGTTGGTACCTAATATAACATGTCTGTAGGGCTTCTATAAGCTCTGGGTACATGTGAATCATATATATCTAAAGACCTGTTAACGTTGTTTTTAGTTACAATGTGTCTGATGGGCTTCACTGAGTTCACAGTACATGTGTATCATATAAATCTAAACACGTGTTTCTTTTGTTACCCAATACAATATGTCTGATCTGTTGTGCTTCTCCGTGCTCAGGGCACATGTGTATCATATAAATGTAAAGACGTGTTTGTATTGTTTTTCATTACAATATGTCTAATGGGCTTCTATGACCTCACAGTACATGTGTATCTCATAAGTCCAAAGACGCGTTTTTATTGTTACCCAATACAATATGTCTGGAAGGCTTCTCTGATCTCACGTTCCATGTGTATCACATAAATGTAAAGACGTTTTTTTTCTGCTTTAACCAAATGCAATATGTTTGTAGGGCTTCTATGAGTTCACTGTAGATGTGATTTATATAAATCTAAAGACGTATTTCTGTTGATGTCATTTACAATGTTCCTGACAGTACATGTGTATCATATAAATTTTAAGACGTGTTTCTATTGTTTTCAGTTACAATGTGCCTTGTGGGCTTCACTGAGCTCACAGAACATGTGTATTATATAAATGTAAAGAAAAAGTAAAGATCTCTTGTTT